AAATGAAAGCTTTTGCTGTCGATACAAAACAATAATCTAAAGAAAACCAGTGGCAACCGGGATAGAAACGTTCATTTTCATTAACAAATAATGTTTTAGTCTTAAGAATAACTTCATGACATGTGAAATGCTATTAAATATTTTAACTACATTTAATCTCCATTGAAAAATAGTAGAGGTAAAATTTAGAAATAAGTATAATTCGGAAACAATTGTTCAGCTGCAAAGTAAGGATGTGCTTAAATAACTGAGGTAAACAACCTATGAAATCTCTAGAACAGACAATTTGAATTGTGAAGAAGCTGCTTAAACAACAAATGAATGATTACTTTGGTGATGAGACATTCTGTGTAGGCTGTATAGTAGATTGTTCTTTCTGCTTAAAGTGCCTGTGTTTCAGCCCCAATAGGCCTATCACTGCTTTTCCTGTTTTTTACTGTTATACTTTTGAAGCTGGGCATAATTATGGGCAATTATAAACAGCTACTTCACTTTGGATGGCCCATATGTGCGAGAGTTCACCCACTAGAACCTTGCTCCTACTTGCTTACATCGTTAGGAGTTTTATTTGGCCATGATAGAACTGGCTTTTCAGAAATATTTTATACAAAACTTGATTATTTGACCACTAGATGCTACTTATGGCCTTTATTAGAGTTGTGCTCTGGGGATCAAACTCTAATGTGGGCCATATTTTGAACTCTGACTACCATATAACTGGGTTACCAAATATGAACAGCCGCTATCTGAATATGAGAATAACTTTACAGGAATATCTCTATGGTGGTGCTGAAAAGCCCTTATTAATATGGTGAAGGTTACTGGAGCTTAAAATAGTGAATTTTGCCTATTTGTATACATGTGTATGTGTGTGTGTGTATGTATGTTTATGTGTATGTGTGTATTATGTGTGTTTGTATACATGTGTGCATCTGGAGAGGGATTAGAACTTGGGTCTTTCTGACTTGAAATCTGGTTGGTTAGTTCTTGTCTTTCATTTTGAAGAGGACCAAAATGACACCACTATGTTGGAGTCAAGGTTTAGTGTGTCTGATTGTGGCTGATCAAACTAATATGAGCTTGAAACCTCTATCACGGGTTGGGCACAAATAGTCCATAAAACATCTGGAATGGAGATGATTCTAAATTTGTGCAGCTCATGCTTTTTTTTTTTTTAACATTTTTATTTAAAGTTTTGAGCTCCAAATTCTATCTGTCCCTCCTTTCTTCCTCCCCTCCCTGAGATGGTAAGCAGATATAGATTATACATGTGCAATTATGTGAAACATTTCAACATTAGTCATTTTGTACAAGAAGACTTCAATAAAAGAAAAAAAGAAAGAAAGTAAAAAATAGCACACTTCAGTCTGTATTCAAACAATATCAGTTCTTTCTCTGGAGGCAGGTAGTATGCGTCATCATTAGTCCTTCGGGTTTGTCTTGGATCATTGTATTGCTGAGAATTGCTAAGTCATTCACAATTCTTCTTTGAACAATATTGTTGTTACTGTTTACAATGTTCTCCTGGTTCTGTTCACGATGCATCAGTTCATGTAAGTCTTTCAAGATTTTTCTGAAGTCATCCTGCTTGTCATTTCTTATAGCATGTTTCTTTTCTTTCTTTTTCTTTTCTTTTCTTTTTCTTTTTGCTGAGGCAGTTGGAGTTAAGTGACTTTCCCGGAGTCAAACAGCTAGTAAGTGTCAAGTGTCTGAAGCTGGATTTGAACTCAGGTCCTCCTGACTCTAAGGTCAGAGCTCTATCCACTGCGCCATCTAGCTTCCCTGTATAGCATGTTTCTTTCGAGCTACTTCAATTCTGTGTTGCTCATGGAGCGCAGTGCCTTCTTTGATGTAGGCATGCTATGCTGGGTGGTCTTTTGCCAGTGTCTCCCATGTCTTGCAATTGATTCTAAAGTTCTTCAGAGAGACCTTGAGTGTGTCCTTGTATCACTTCTTCTCACCACCATGTGAGTACCTGCCTTGTATGAGTTTTCTGTAAAAGTCTTTTAGGCAAAAGTACGTTTGGCATTTGAACAATGTGGCCAGCCCCTCAGAGATGCACTCTTTGCAATAGAATTTGAATACTTGCCAATTTAGCTTCAAAAAGGACCTCAGTGTTTGGTACCTTATCTTGCTAGGTGATCTTCAGAATTCTTTTAAGACAATTCAAATGGAAGTAATTCAGTTTTATGGCATGGCGCTGATATACTGTCTAGGCTTCACTGGCATACAACAATGAGGTCAACACAATGGTGCTGTAGCCCTTCAGTTTGGTAGTCAGTCCAGTACCTCTTCTCTCCCATACTTTCCTCCAAAACAGTGGGCTAGCTCTGGCCACGCGTACATCAACCTCATCATCTATGTGTACATCCCTGGAAAGTATACTGCCAATGTAAGTGAACTTATCCACAGTGCTCAGAATTTCTCCATTTGTTGTAATCAATAGTTCCACATATGGATGGTGTGGTTCTGGCTGGTGGAGAATCTCTGTTTTCTTGGTGTTAACTGTTAGGCCAAAATGAGCAAAAGCAGCAGAGAATTGATCCATACTTTATTGCATCTCAGTTTCAGAGGTGGCATCAAGTGCACAATTATCTGTAAACCAAAAAACATGTACCAGCTCTCCCCCCACTTTAGTCTTGCTTATAGCCTTTTCAAGTTAAATAGTTTACCATCTGTGTGGTAGTTGACCTTAATGCTATTTTTTTATACTTGTTGTCAAGGTATCTGACAACATTGCTGAAAACATCATGTTAAAAAAGCATGAGAAAAGCACACATCCTTGCTTTGCTCCATTGCTGACTGGGAAAGCATGAGAACATCATCCTTTATCCAGAACCTGGGCAAGCATGCCATCATGAAACTGACACATAATACTGATGAACTTCTCTGGGCACCCAAATTTTGCCACAATTCTCCACAAGCCCTTATAACTGACAGTATCAAAGACCTTGGTCAGATTGACGAACATTGTATATAGACCTTTGTTCTGCTTGTGACATTTCTCCTGGAGTTGTTGGGCAGCAAACACCATAGCAACCATTCATCAGCCCTTTCTGAAGCTGCACTGACTCTCAGGTAGATGACCATCTTCCAGGGGAAGGATCAGCCTATTAAGGAGGACTCTGGAAAGAATCTTTTTAAAAAAACAATTTTTTTCTGGGAAGAATCCTGCCAGCAATGACTAAGAGAGAGACACCCCCCCCCCCCTGTGATTGTCACAGGACAATCTATTTTCTTTACTTTCATAGAGATGGACAATGGAGGCAGCCTTGAACTCCTAGGGGATAACCTCCTCTTGCCATATAACCTGGAAAATTTCATTCAGCTTTTGTATGACCAGTAGATCCCCTGCCTCATAAATCTCAGCTGGAACAGAATCAGCACCAGGAGCTTTGCCACACAAGAGGAATTGAATGGCATTCAAAACTTCTTCTTCAGTTGGAAGTTTGGCTAAAGAAGGATTCACTTCAGCCTGAGGTATATGGTCAATGACTTCAGCATTGATTGATGGCAATCTATTGAGAACACTATGGAAGTGTTCAGCCCATCTCTACAGGATCGTGTAATTATCACTAATCAATCAGCACTGAGTAGTTGAAATGCACCGTAGGTCTTTGGCCCATAAATAGCCTTCAGGGCATCATAAAAGTGCTTTGGATTATTGCTGTCAACAAAAAACTGAATTTCATCTGCCTTCTTACTGAGTCAAAAGTCCTGCATCTGTCTAAGCTTCACTTGCACTTTAGTTTTGATGAAGTAAAATGCTGCTTTCTTAGAGACGGATAAACTGTCCTGCTGGTAAACCCTGTGGAGTTCTCGCTTTTTTGTTTAGCAGCTTCTGAATTGCCTCACCATTTTTGTCAAACCAATCTTGATGTTTGCAAGTGTTCTGGCCCAGATGAGTAAATGCAGTGCTGCACACCAAATCTCTGAAAGCTGCGTACTTTTTTTTTTGCTCCACTGTTGCCAACTGTGTTTTGGCTCGACATTACCTCCAATTTAGCAATGGATTCTTCTTGCTGGGAGAAGCATCTTAATTGACTTAATGTCAATTAAGTCTTCTGATAGTCTTGCCTTGGGCCACTGCTTTTGTTGAATATGAATATTCAGCTTGGAGAGGATAAGTCTATGATCAATCCAGCACTCTGTACCACACATCACCTTGTCATTCTCACGTCCTGTCTATCTCCTTACAGTGACATAGTCTATTAAATGCCAATATTTGCTACAAGGGTGCATCCATGAAGTTTTATTGCATTTAGTTAAACTGAAGACAGTGTTGGTGATGAGGTCATGAGATGCACAAGTCTTCAGTAGTGACAATTGCTGTTGCTGTTTCAGACTCTGTTCTTCCCAAGGACTCTGACATGTCTGGCAGTCTGTGCTGATTTTTGCTTTAATTATAACTTATAATTACAACCCCAAATTATAAACTTGTCCTCTTTCATAAAACTTCATAATCTATCATAATAAATCTTCATAAAATTTTTCTTTGACCCCATCAGGGTTTGTCATGGTGGGAGCATATGCCCTGATGATTGTGTCATTGCACTTTTCTGCAAATGGCAATCACATTTTTATAAGCTTATTGTTCATTCCTTCTTTTTCAGTCAGGGTTTAGTCACTTATTTGCCCATGGGGAATTTGTCCAGGTGAAAGGACATGGCATTCTGCACTGGACCATTTGGAGACTGTACAAATTCTAGCTTGCCTATTCCTAATCAAGGTATTTGTGATTAATAATTACTAGAGACGAAAAGTCTAAATTCCTTGGATCACAAGATTGGCTGACTTCCTCTTGCTCTGCAGATCACTTCTCTCTCAAGGACTTATTGGTAACTACTGTTCAACTAGTTTTAATCTTGGATGGCCAAACTACGTATATCATAAGAGTTAATCTTAGGCTTAGCAGCCTATCACAATGTAGGGTGTGGGACTCCCCACCCAATGGTCATTTGCTTTGTCTCTTTTGTGTTTATTCTTTCCTGATCTTAGATGAATGAGATTGGAACAACTTTAATTTTGTGAGCTTCAAAAGGGTGAGATGACAATTGATTAGAACCTCATTGAAAGGCTATAATCAAGTCTAGATTTGGAAAAATGGAATGTTAGAAAAAGGTACATTTAATATCTAGTGTAATGTGTGGTTTCATGACAAAGAATTAAATGACGTGTCAAAATCTTGTGAACTTAGTGACAAAGAATGTAAAAAAGCAATTTCAGGAACAGGACATATTATGTAATTTAAAAAGCTTTTTTTTTTTAAAGATGTGAACATTTTAAAGGTTTATTGTATATCAACAAATTTAATTACTTTGTCACCATTACGTGACACATAACTGCTAGTCCAGCTCATTATGTGTATGTGTATGTTTTATTAAATTTAGGAATATATTTATGGCTTTTTCAATTTCCTTTTCTGTATTATAAAATTCCCTATCATTTCTGTCCACGTGGATATTTTATGTTTTTGTAAATATTCATCCATTTCATTTAAATGACTATTTTTGGCATATAATTAGGCAAAATAGTTTCTAAAAATTTCCTTTATTTCTTATTTTTTTGTGAATTTTTAATTAAAAAAATTAATATTAGTAATTTGGGTTTCCCTCTTTTAAAAATTAGATTACTGAAGAGTTTATTTGTTTTGGTAACTTAAAAATAGCTCTTGATTTTATTTATAAACTTAATGGCTTTTAGCTTTCAATTTTGCTTACATCTTTTCTGATATTCAGATGTGTATGCTATTTATAGATATCTGGGAATGAATAAGTAGATGGAGAGATATTGAAGATGGAGGGGTGATCATAGGAGCAATCTGCTGGAGGAGTTGAGACTGAGATGAAATTGAAGATAGAGGCAGGAATTGGCTTTGGTGAAAAAGGCCATCTCTTCATTGGAGGTTGGAGTAAAGGAGATCACAGGGGCTGAGGTCAAGAGTTTTTGAGATATGCAGTAAGGGAGAAGAGGAAGCACAATAACAAACCTCAATTTTCTCTGTAAAGAATGAAACAAAGTACAGTGAAGAGAGGGTACTTGACAGATTGGTGTAGGAGGCTTAAGGAGAGAAGATTTGGAACAGCAAAGTGAGGAAAGAATATGATAGAAAATCAACTAGGAGAGAATAAAGGAATTCCCTTGATGCTTTTAGGGCCCAGTTATGATTATATAACATAAAATTTCTAGATTTGAGAAGTTGTTGTTTATCTCTAGAGACAAACATTCAATAGGGAATTACACAATTGCAAAAAAGCATTTTTGCAAGTGTACATATACCAACATTGTTGAGGATGTATATCATAGAGTACAAATGGAGAGGTGAGAAGGTGAGAACGTTTAGATAGTCCCATTTTTAGATGACTGTATTGATTGCATCAAGCCCTGGTAGCACTGCAGTCTCCTAAATGAAATTAATAATCTCTTGAGAGTTTGTCCTACCTACACAGGAAAAACTAAGCAGGTGAAAAATATGTGTTGCCCATATTATGATATGTGTGCAATTAGATGGATAATTTAGGGAGCTTATTCATTAATACATATATCCTGGATCATCATAGTAAGTAGATGATGAGTTGAGCCTAGAGCTGAACAGGAGGAAGGATGTGGAGTGGATTTCATTTGGGAGTTGTTTGATTGTATGAAAATATCCAGAGTCTTTCCTTAAAATAGTTTGCTTAGTTCTCTTTTAGAATTGTCCAACTTTCTCTTTTTCAAGGACAGAAATATTTTCTTTATGCCCAGAAGAAAAGGTTATTTTATTCTCTATCTACTTTTCAGTAGAAGAAATAACAAGTTGAGGTCTTTGTCAACAATGCATCTTGGAATTACAGTTTGGTCTTTCTGATTTTCAGATGTGTATGCTATTTATAGATATCTGGGAATGAATAAGTAGATGGAGAGATATTGAAGATGGAGGGGTGATCATAGATTCGGTCTTTCTGCTCACAGTTGAGGATTTGTCTTAGCGGGGGTGCCTTCCTGAAGATTTTTGCTATTTCCTTCTCCAACTCATTTTATAGATAAGAAAACTGAGGCAAACAGGATTAAGTGATATACATACATATGTATGAATGCATATATATGTGTGTATATGTATATGTGTGTGTGTATGTATATGTGTGTGTGTATGCATAGTCTATTTTCACCAAAATAACATGGTTTCTCAGGGCTTCCATATTGATCTAACCACAACCAAAGGTAAATATGCAATTAGCATGTCTCACATAAGGCTAGATCTGCCTTTTTTGCAAATGGGACCATCTTTGAAAAAGGACCTAAAAAGATATGTTTGTACTTAAACATTATAGATTGAAAAAAAAATTTAGCTCAAGGAAGCATTCTGGTATAGTGAAAAGTACCCTGAACCAGAAGTCAGGAGGCTTAGGTTCTAATGTCGTCTCTACCAGTAGCTAGATATATCACCTTGGGTAAGTCACCTCACTTCTCCAAGACCCAGTTTCCTCATCTGTATGTAATGGTAACTGAATTTTCTTCTCCCTGGAATGTAGTAGCCTGGGCTCTGAGGTGCTTGACTAAATAACCAAGATGAATGTGAATAACCTTGCTCAACTGCCCTCGTGGGAATTATGGTAATAATAATGATGATAATATTTTACATTTATGCAGTACTTTAAAGTTTATGAAGCTCTTTACATGCATTAGCCCATGTAATCCTCACAATAATTCTGTGAGGTAGGTATATTTTAACACGGGACCTGGTGTTATACAGTAGGCACTATATGAATGCTTATTTCTTTCCTCTGTTGCCTTTCCACCCCCCCCCCCCCATTTAACAGAGGAGGAGGTCAAGGCTTGGAGAGCTTAAGTGACTGACTAGTGTCTGGTAGTAGCAACGATTCCTAGTCCAATGCTCTATCCACTACATCACACACTGCCTGACAATTAGGGAGACTGGGATGTTCTTTTGAGTCTTTAAACTCATAAGACATGCCGATGCAGATGAGAGGCAGTGTCCCAGGACAGAGATCAACCAGTGATGTTGCCCTGAGCCAACTTGGACTTGTCGAGAGGCCTACCTGTAAAGCATAATGAGAGGTGTGACATGGATGTATTTGACAGTCTAGTGAAGCTTATGGACCCCATTTCAGAGTAATTAAAGAAATTTATAATGAAAGGAAATGCTAAATTTCAGTAACTGGTTAATGAAAATAATGGTGTCATTTTTCCTCCCATCAAAATGCACAGATACCCTGAAATCTCTCTAATCACCACTTAGCAGTAATAGACCTTGGGGTAAGAACCCTTGCTGCAGTATGTTACAGGGGCCACAGAAAAAATGTAGGTAGAGCAATATAGTCCACTGATTTCTTACCAAAGAAAGAAATCACAACAGAAGTATTAACCATTGGAACCTTCTGGGAGCAAAGCAATGCTGAACAGATAGCCAGTGTTTGTTTGTCTTCATTCTTAAAGAGGACCAATGACATCAGAATGGCGATGTCTTGATTTGTGTGTGAATTGGATTTAAGTGAGGCACAGCTTTGCGAAGTCGCCACCCTCACTCTCTCCTCCTGACTTATGCCCGAGGCAATACACATTCAGTGACTAAAGGCTAGGTAAGAATTAGACAAAAGATGGCCTAATGTACCATCACAAAAATATTAATTTGGGAGGGGAAGACCCTCAACGTTTCTGGCCAAAACAGAAAACGATTGCTATTTATACTCATTCTAAGCCATCAGAACCTAAACAATGAGCCAGAGGGCTATTATTGGCCATTCAACAAAAGCCACAGTGATTTAAGTTTAAAGGCTAGTCAAGTAGCTCCATTTGAAAAACAATGGGCTGGTTTAGACTTTTGTGCCCCAATGTGGGGTTGTTATTCCCAGTTTAAGAAACTCAAAAGGGTCACTGGTAGAAAAAGTTTAAGCTGTGGGCTAGAGAATCACTAGACTCCTTTAAAACTCTTATTTTTCTAATCCTATTTTTTTCAGAGCTGTATTACAAGAAATCATAAATGAAAACTTCACAGGACAGAAAACAATTGCCCCAGCTTTTAGAATCATTATATTCCTTTAAAACCATTATTTTTTAAAAGCCTTTTTTCAGAGTTATATTTCAAAAATCATAAATGAAAACCACAGAGGACAAAAAGTAAATTGTTGTAGCTTTTAGAAAAAAAATGTAGCTCCCAACCCCGCAAAATCTTATAAGTATATTTTATAAACTCTAAGCACCAAAAATTATATCCCTACAGATAGAACACCCACATATGAGGATATGATGCCTCAAGTGGAGAGAGAGACCATATGTGGCGAGGGCTGTAGTTGTGTGTGGCTGCAAAAGAGGCTGAACAGATATCTCTAGCCTCAGCTTCTCCCAACCTTTTCTCTCACCCATTCATTCTTTCCTTGTGCTTTTTTTTTTCAGAGTTACTTCTGCATGTCTGCAAGCCCTCAGTTCCTCTATAGTGGTAGGATCCAAGATGGGGTATGGTCACTACTCTCCTGGCCTGTGCTCTGATCCATGAGTGACTATAAGCCCTCTTCCCTGCCCTGGAACCATGACTTTGGCCTTTGTACCCCACTTATAAAACATAAATAATAATAGTACCTACCTCACACGGTTGACTGAATTGTCAAAGTTGACTGAATTGTCAAGGGTGACTGAATTGTCAAGGGTGACTGAATTGGCTTCTGCTATCAGAGCTCTACTTGAAAATGTCCAAGACCAGGGAACCCATTAACAATAGATTAAATCACTTCTGGGAGGTGGTGCAATGTATAAAGTAACAGACCTAGAGTCAAGAAGGCTTGAGTTCAAATGTGACTTCAAACACTTACTAGCTTTGTGACTTTGAACAAGTCATTTATCCCTGTTTGCCTCAGCTTACTCATCTATAAAATGAGCTGCAGAGGGAAGTGGCTAATCACTCCAGTGTCTTTGCCAAGAAAACCCTAAATAGGGTCACAAAGAGTCAGACATGACTGAACAACAGTTATAGCCAGAGGGTCCCTCAGAGGGAGCACTGATGAAGAGGAGTAGCTCCTGGGAATTACCTTCTGCTGGACCCTCTATGACTGCAGTATTGTAAGAGACTGAGACTAAATAGGCTGGGGGAGAAGGGTTATTCTTCAATAGATGTTATTATTTTCTTTGAACTGTGATGTAAATTCTCTTTGTTTTTCATCACTTATAAGTAAACCTATTCAAACTTTGAGTTTTATAGGTCCATGTGTTTGTAAAGGAAATTAGTGACTCATCTTAGGGATGGTGATAGTGGTGGTGACAGATGCTGAAGTTTCCAGATTATGGAGTGGGAGAAGGAAGGACAACAAGGAGTTAGAGAAGTGAGAAGCCCTCTATAGTGAATCTCTGCTCTCCATGTCAAGAGGGAGGCTCTGGGGGGAAGTCAACACGGAGGAGTAAAGGCAAGGACTTACCTGAGCTCTCCCAAGTTTCCCTCCAAACAACATTAAGATAACACTTCCAAATGAATTCTGGAGTAGCAGAAATAACAAAATGATGAGATGAAACAATATTCCAGCTCAAGATACTTAAAAAGTCAGCAAGAAAGGTCTGTCTCCCTGGGGGGAAAAGCAGAATACAGTCCTCAGGCTGTGCCTGGGCTATCCAGTGGCAGGCTGTGGGGATGACTGAATTGGTGGAGGTGACTTCTGAAGCTCTCTGCCTACAGAAGGTAAGGAGGTTTGACAACTGCTCAGAAGATTTCAGGAGAGCTTTTGCTGGCACTGGACTCTGTTGTTTTGCTCATACATGGTTCTGGGTTGTAGTTCTAGGCCAAGGAAGAGAACTAGTAGGAGTGGGAACCTGGTTACAATTCCAGGGAAGAAAAGAGTGTTGTGGTTGCTTACAGAACAGAGCACAGATCAGGAGAGCAGTGACCATACCTCTCCTTAGATCATACTACCTTGGAAGAACTGAAAACTTATAGACCCCCAAAACTAGCTCTGAAAACAGCAGCATGAAAAACCTGAAGCTTGAGACAGTGCCACTTCCACACCAGAGCACAGCCCAACTTTAACATAAAGTTCAAAGTAAAAAAATAATTAGTCTGGAAGAATGAGCAAACAGAAAAAAAAATCTGACCATAGAAAGTTACTATGGTGTCAGGGAAGACCAAAACACCAACTCAGAAGACAATGTCAAAACAGCTACATACAAAGACTCAAAGAAATATATGAATTGGCCTCAGGCCCCCCCCAAAAATTCCTGAAACAGCTCAAAAAGGATTTTAAAACTCATATAAGAAATGTAGAAGAAAAATTGGGAAAAAGAAATGAGAGTGATGGAAGTAAATCATGAAAAAAGAGTCAATAGTTTGGTTAAAAAAAAGATAAAAAAGTGAAGAAAGTAACACTTTATGAAATAGAATAGACCAAATGAAAAAAAAGTGTAAAAATTCACTGAAGGAAAGAACTCCTTAAAGAATAGAATTGGTCAAATGGAAAAGGAAGTACAAAAGCTCACTTAAGAAAACAATTCCTTAAAAATTACATTTCAGGGGGCAGCTAGGTGGTGCTAGGATAGAGCACTGACCCTGAAGTCAGGAGGACCTGAGTTCAATTCTGGCCTCAGACCAAACACTTCACATGCACTAGCTGTATGACCCTGGGCAAGTCACTTAACCCCAATTGCCTAAAAAAAAAAATTGCAATTTAACAACTGGAAGTGAAGGACTCCAGGAGACATCAAGAAACAGTAAAGCAAAATTAAAAGAATGAAAAAAATAGAAGAAAACATGAAAAAACTAATTGGAAATACAACTGACTTGGAAAATAGATTGAGAAGAGATAATTTAAGAATTATTAGAAAGCCATGATCAAAAACAGAGCCTAAACATCATATCAAGAAATTATTGAAGAAAACTACCTGATACCCTAGAACCAGAGGTAAAATAGAAATAGAAAAGAATACACCAATCACCTCCTGAAAAAATTTCCAAAATGAAAACTCTGAGGAATAACATAACCAAATTTCAGAACTCTCAGGTCAAGGGGAAAATATTGCAAGTAGCCTGAAAGAAATCATTAAAATATCATGGAACCACAGTTAGGATAATGCAAGATTTATCAGCTTCTACATTAAAGGACTGGAGGGCTTAGAATATGATATCTGCAGGGCAAAGGAGCTAGGATTACAACCAAGAATCAACCTACTCAACAAAACTGAGTATAATCCGTCAGGGGAAAAATGGATATTTAATGAAATAGAGGACTTTCTAGCATTCCTGATGAAAAGTGCAGAGCCAAATAAAAAATCTGATTTTGAAATACAAGACTCAACAGAAGCATAAAAAGGTAAATTGAAATGAAAAGTCATAAGAAATTCAATAAGGTTAAGCTGTTTACATTCTTATGGAGTAGCAGGAGGAAGGAGAATAAAAGGGGGACTAATAGAAGGGAAGGCAGGTAGAGGGGGTGGTGGTCAGAAGAAAACAGTTTTGAAGAGGGACAGGGTGAAAAGAGAGAGAGAGAAGTATAAACAGGGGGAGAAAGTAGGATGAAGAGGAATAGAGAAAAAGTAATCATAACTGTGAATGTAAATATGATGAACTCAGACAAAATAGAAGTAGATAACAGAGTAGATTAAGAACCACAATCCTATCAATACTAAACACACACACACACACACACACACACATATATATATATAAAATATATATATGCATATAAAAATATATGTATATGTACATACATACATATACATATACATATCTATATGTGTATATATATGTATATATATACACACCAAATGGTATAACATCCAAATTCTTAAAGGAAAAAATAAATGAGTAATAGGAGGAAATAGACAACAAAACTATACTAGTAGGGGGATCTCAAATTTCCCCTCTCAGAACTAGATAAATCTAACCAAAAAATAAACAAGAAAGAAGTTAAGGAGATGAACAGAATTTCAGAAAAGTTGGATATGATAGACCTCTGGAGAAAACTGAATGAGAATATAAAGGAATATATCCTTTTCTCGGTAGTACAGGGCATCTACACAAAAAAATGACCATGTATTAGAGCATAAAACTTCACAACCTAATGCAGAAAAAGCAGGAATATTAAACGTATCTTTTTCAGATCATGATGCAATAACAATTAGAATAAAGGGCCATGGAAACATAGGTTAAAAATTAATTGGAAACTAAATAATCCTAAAGAATGAGTGGATCAGAGAACAAATCATAGAAACAATAAATAATTTCTTTAAAGAGAATTATCCTTCTCTGGGACAAGAACTCACTATTTGATAAAAAATGTTGGGAAAACTAGAAAACAATTTGGCAGAAACTAGGTATAGATGAACATCTCACACTGTATGCCACGATAAGGTCAAAATGGGTACGTGATTTAGACATAAAGGGTGATACCATAAGCAAATTAGAGGAGCATGGAATAGTTCACACAGTAACAGCAACATTGTGTGATGATCAGTTGTGAATGACTTAGCTATTCTCAGCAATACAATGAGCTAAGACAATTCTGAAGAACCTGTGGTGGCAAATACTATCCACCTCCAGAGAAAGAACTGATAGAGTCTGAATGCAGATCAAAGCAGAAGTTTTTTTTCTTTTTCTTTCTTTTTTTTTTGAAGGGGGTCTCTTTTCTTTTATAACATAACCCATATGGAAATATGTTTTCCATGACTGTACATGTATAGCCTATATCAAATTACTTTCTTTCTCAATGAGGGGGAAGAATAGGGAGGGAGGGAGAAAATTTGGAAATCAGAATAAAAAAATGAATGCTAAAATTGTTTATATATGCAATTAGAAAAATAAAATAATAAAAAGGTAAAAAAATATATAGAGGGAGCTTCTGACACAAGGATTACATGCAAAATGCTGGTATGAGAGGAGGGGGTTCTCTTCCAGCTCTAAATCCTATGTAAAAAGGTAAGGTCTTACTCAATTGCACCATTCTATTAAGTTTGAAACATGCAGATAGAACATGATGGAACATGCTACTATAGTTATGATGTCACACATTCTTTTCTTTACTGAAAAATGAACCCCCTTGTTCTTTTCTTGGTCTTCTGGTACTTCCATGGTTTCCTTTGCCTTTTTTTTTTGTTTTCCCTATGCAAATTTATTTGTGAGTAGAATTAAATCACAAACAAAATATGAATTTATTTGTTAGCACCTGGTACTATTGTTCTGCGAGATATTCTTTTTTTTCATGATTGCCAACCTTCTCCAAACTAAATACAACACAATTGAATTGCCACTTAAAAAAGAGAAGACTAACAAAATGTGTTTGCATTGGTTTTATAATCAAGGGCACAATTAACCTGTGTTTTGAAACTTCCTCCAACAAGAATTCTCATTTTGTCTCTGTGTGTGTGTATGTATGTGCATGTGTATGTATATAGATTTAAAGTAAAAGTAATAGGTAATTATTTTTCTCCAATATGCCTTCCCAGTATATTGAATATATATTCTGAGCCTGGGCCTGAGTTTGAGCTGTTATTTAAACTTTTTTCAGCTGTTTTCATGTGGTGTTTGGTGCATTTTCACATTATTTTTTAATATGGACTTCTTTTCATGGGAGCAGAAATAACTCTGGGCTTCCTGCCTTTCTAAAATTAT